AGCTCCGCGGCCCGCAGTTGCTCCTCGGCCGCCTCCGATAGCCGACCCTGGGACGTCAGGAACAGTCCTGCGAAAGTCACGAGTACTCAAATTTTTAAGCTCTTTGTATATATATACACGTTTGGAGCATGCTTTCTCTCGAAGCGACGATTAAAAAGGAAATGGAGAAGGAGGGAAATAAATATACGGTCAAGGTTGCCAGCTACTTCGGTAACGTCCTCGAAATCTCGCGTAGGATATAAATTTCACTGGTCTACTGCCCAATGACGCGTGCCCCGCTAAGAGAGATAAANATTTTTTGCGGCTGAAAAATCTCCAACGTTCCAACGCGAGATTCTCTTTTCGCAGGGAGTGGAGTGGATTAATCCTGGCCGCGAAGAAGAATCGGGCGACCGATTGGCCGTTGGCCCATCCCTCTCCGCGAACGGAGACGCGATGGATATTCGAAAGAGATCGTGAAAAAGCGGGCGGGGAACTGTTGCCAAACCGAGATCGAGGGACGGGTTTAGAATGCGGTTGAGAGGAGGGGGAGGATGAAACGACACGAGTCGACACTGCGACGAGCAGCAGGAATCGCGAAGAATTCCTTTCCGGAATTTCAATACCCGTCGATCTTCTTTCCGCTTGCTGGCTCTCCAACCCCTCCCCCCTCCCATTCGCATTTTCCCTCGTCTCTTTTTTCGATTGACGTGCCGCTTCCCTTCTCCGTTTTCACTGCCACGCTCCTCTTCCAAAGAAAAATATTACACCGGTATTTAGAGCTTCTCTTATTCCTCCCCCTCCTCCTCCTCCTTTTTCTCGTCGAGGAAAAACTGTATTAATATGTGCTAGAGGCGGTGCACGATCAACCTCGAAGAGGGATAAATCTGGACCATTTCGATTTGCTTCCATAAATTAACAAGCTCCCCTCTCCTCTTTCGAATCGATGGTGGGCCAAACGTTTTTTTTGGGGGCGGGAAAATTAACGAAACTGGGCGAAATGATACGTACCGTAATGATGGTGCACGCTCGAGTCGTCCGGCGCCAATCTACGGGCTCTCAGGAACCACCTCTCGGCCTCCAGCACGCGGCTCGACTGTGGAAAGAAACGAGAAGAAAGGAGAATCAGTGATCGAAACGTTGGAAACGTTGGTTGGGAACGGTCTACCGAGTTACGGGTGTAACGAGATTTATCCCGATGCGATTAGGGGCAACGAGAAACAGAGAGGATTCCGTTTCACTTGGCGCACAGAGAGGAGGAGAGCCGCGTGAAAGATGGAAATGGAATTTCGATACGGTTCGGGTGGCACCGAACCGATGAAAATTCACCGGCGGCGCCGCGATACAAAGTCGACATTTATCGGTCAAACGTGCAATTACATAGTTTACTCGCCTATTGACTTTACATCGACCATTGTGCCATTGGGGCGTGACGTACATCGTAATTCGCAATTGGAAACTTTTCTCCCGAACCGACTTTGGAATGGAAAGAAGGCGGAGGATGGGAGGAATGTTCCACATTTTAGGGAATCTCAAGCAAATTTCGCCTTTGCGAAAATTTTCGTTTATTAACGAAAGAAACGAGAGTTAATAGCAGAGGTAACACAGCCTCGGAAAAGGATATATTATACGTACTATGTATACTCGGAGATTTAGGATCAAACGTAATTCATCATCGGTTCATTGGCTGATGTGTATCGCGTAGGATTAAGTGGAAAAAAAAAAAAAAAAAAAAAAAAAATGAAATGGAAGTTCATCACCGGCGTAAATCTATTTCATTTACGCGCAATCAATTTAAAGTTATTTCACGGGAACGGTACAGGGCTAATGGAAAATTGGCAATTCGGTAATATTATCATGGCAAGCAATCAACTATATTACACATTACCGTTAATGCGTCCCCCCGGAGAAGGATAGTATTAATCGATTATTCGATGTAATCGCGCCGAAAGACGAGAAATTCGATCGAAGACGAACGAACGAACGAACGAACGAACGATCGATCGATCGATGATGGCGACATGAACCGATCTCGCCAATCGATCGCGAATTAATCATCGAAGCGCAATATGCAAAAGTGAAAGCCGCGTTTGGAGGAATGGCGCGTTTCGAATCTCTCTCGGCTCAATGAGCGTGATCGTCGGTCGGTGTTAGATACGTTTTCAGGAGAAATACCGGTTTCCGGTCAACGATTGGCCGGCCGGGAACACGGATCCGGTCAGTGGATCGAGCAGAATCAGCTTAACTGCGCGTTGTTTCCCTTTGCCGGGGGTTCCCCCTTTAATGGGATGTGGGTCAGGGAGCGTGTACTCCCCGAGCCTACCGATACGTGGCGCCACCACCGCTGTCGAGCCTCGAGAAATAGTACTAACTACTTACGTGCCGAGTCGAAGGTTTGCTAAGTGATGTGGGTCGCTACGTGGTCAGACTACGGCGAACGAGAGCCCTGCAATCCCGGTTCTCTCGTTTTATATATCGTTTCATATTCGAACCAGGCAACTTTCGTTACCATTTATCTTCTCCCCCTTCCCTTTATCCCTCACTCTCTCTCTCTCTCTCTCTCTCTTTCTCTTTGGTTTTTCGCTCTCACTGCGATTGGATATTTATCACGGTTCAAAAGAAGGGGGGAGGAGGAGGAAAAAAAGTAGCAGTTTTCAAAGACCGTTACTTTGCAAAGAGCGTGGAAACGGCTTCGTCGAAGAAGAAGAAGAAGAAGAAGATGGCGATCGAGTTTCTTTGACTGGATAAGCGACGGCGATCGAAAAGTTGGCCGATTCTCCCTACCGTTTCTCTAGCTCGGAGGGGAAAGGTGGAGGGGAAAGGATGTATCTCGGTTGTCCGTACCAACGAAATTCCGCGTTGAACGATATTGGTCGGGCCGCGGTAAACTCGGGAACTGGATCCCCGCGCCCTGATGAAAGAGAACCGATCTAAAACTGGTAACTACTTACGTTTCGGGCCAAAAGTTTCCCGTAAGTGATGTGGGCCGGCACGTGGTCAGGCTGGCTGGCCAAACTCGCCTGGAACCACCTTTCCGCCTCCGCGTACTGTTGCAGCCTCGACAGAGTTTCCCCCAGCAGATTGTAAACGCTCTGTAAAACAGGGTCGATCGTCAGACTCTCCTACCCCTCGT